ATCTGAATATTTATTTAATTTATAATAAAAATATAATAGCAGTCACAATATTATCTTTAACTTAATTTCAAATATTTTTCTTTCTTGAGAAATATAGATCCCAACAAGGGGTTATATAGTGTGCTACTAATAAAGCTTTGGGACTATGTCCTTTGCTCTTGCTAATGGGTCACCATGGATACCATATTCCCAGGTAGATTTTCTACTAATGCTGCTCAGTCCTGATTAAACTGACCCCAGAAAGGACCAGAGCATGATGTATGTGGTCTGTCCTAGGTGAATCGCACCCTTTGAAATGAACATCACCTTGAAGCTGGCAGAAGGGTGTGGATGGAACCCAAACAGGACATCAGGTCAAAACAAGCTTCTGCCAATGTGACCAGCTAAATTTCCCTTTTATGCTTGGGTTAGGGGTGCCTTAGTAAATGGATGACTAATAAGGTCTTTTTGCTTTGATGGCGTGTTCCTCTATGTGGCAACAGAAGTGGAGATTATAGGATTTCCATCAATATCAATTAATCACCATTCATATTTCTATCACACGTCATATTGTAGGTGGGTTCCCACTTTTTGCTATTCACAGGACACTGTTTTATATTTATTTTTTTCATTTCAGAGATGTTTTTCTATGACTTCCTAAATCGATGGACTGCAAATAAACTTGATGCTGTTGTCGTGGGTGTAGAGTAAGAGAATAACAGTTTGTATTACTATGGTCCTTCTTTACTATACAATTTTCAAAGCAATTCACTCAACCCTCAGAAATGTCTGTATGCTATGGATTTTGGTTTATATTAACTTTTTCTTAGAATTGTCTTATCAATGTTTCCTCAAAGGCGCCTAGTCTTGTGTTGATCTCTGTCATTGTAGGTACCAATAATGGGCACAGACGAAACATATTTGTCAACAGAGCTCTGATACCTCTGGGAACATAAGCTCTAGATTCCAGAAGTACCAAATTTAATCCCCAAGTAATATGCCTAGAAAATATACTCATTGTATTCTTGGTGCATTGGGTTTTATTTGACCTGGTTGTACATCAATGTGAGCTGCTGTTTCAGTTTTATTAGATGAAAAATGTCGGGATAATTTGAACATTTCAAGACATTATCCAAATGATAAATCTTTGTATCTCATGACGTTTGCCAAAATTCCCAATAATATAACAGAAATATGAGCAAATGCTTATTACCTTATGAACTGTTGGATGTACTCTACGATACTGAAATCCTCATCATAAGGTTGAAGAAATTTTTCTTGTCTCCTGCCAATTGTATAGTGAAGAAATAGACTTACAGACCTATATAGACTGAAGGCAAAAACATTATTAAGAATTTCTTGACTGAGAATGTAACAGAGTCAAATAGAATGTGTCAGAGGGATCAGTGCCATCCTGCTCATAGTCATTACTTTATTGCAACCAGAAGTACTGGTGTTCCGAGAAATATCTAACTTAGAGGATGATCTGCCTTTCCCACTACGATTTTAAGCACTTTCAGTTTCCCGAGTCAAGAACTTGGTGAACACTTTAAAGCCAGCTTTATGAGGGGTGGGGGTGAATGCACACCCTGTCTCACTCAACCCCTCCCCGTAGAACCAGTACCTCAAACCCTTTTAACAAGAATCCACTTCTTAATTTAAAACAGAAGTTATGGGGCTGGAGAAATGGCTCAGCGGTTAAGAACACTGACTGTTCTTGCAGAAGACCCAGGTTCAAATGCCAGCACCCACATGGCAGCTAACAATTGTCTGTAACTCCAGTCCCAGGTGATCTGACAGCCCCTTCT